AATTAAGGGAGGTAAATAATTCCTAACATAGCATCCAACGTAGAATGCAATGTGACATCCAATGTAGAATCCAATAGACATCCACAATACCTCATGTTTCATAATAACATAGAGTTTTTTTATGTTAATTTGGGCTCTTAAGTAATTTTAAATTTATGGAATTAACTGAAATTTTCATAATTAATTTCATATTTTTGGGTGGGTTTAAAATGTGAAGATCCGATTTGGATTTTCTAAAATTTAGTTTGATACTAATCTGAAATAAAATAATTTGGGTCGACCCTGTAACTCGACCTGGTCCTATCTAACCCTACCTGCATGGGACAGACAGGGTCAAAGGAGAATAGGGGCGATCGTGGTCAAGTACTATAAGGCCAAGGTTTTTAGAATAATATTAGGATCAGGGCTGAGTTTGACTCAGTTCCACCGCTAAAAATAATGACATCACACATTCATTCAACAATTTTACCTTTTCTATAATCTTATATTTACTCAGACGAGATTGTACATGAATAAGTAGAAATGAAGGAGAGACTGAAGAAACTCCGACATTTGCTCTATGATTGGAGTAGGACGGGTACGACGAATTCTCTTCGAAATATCAAGACCCTCCAATCTGAGATAGAACGGACTAAACTAGTTCACCCGATTGATTGGAATAAAGTGAGGATTTGGAGGCTAAATTGAGTCAGCAATGGGAGGCAGATGAGATTTAATGGCAACAAAAATAAAGGGTCCGTTGGCTTAAGAAGGATGACAAAAATACGACGTACTTCCATGTCCATGAGATTTAATAAAGAGTCACACGGGCTCGAAAAAAAACGAAACTTATGTCCGAGTTACGAAATGATAGTGGGGAATGGATCACTGAGGAGAGAAGAAAGGCTGATATTGCCATAGATTTTTATCAAACTATCTTCACCTCTGAAAATCAAGTGTTGAACATGGAAGCCAAGGTCGCAGATCTACCGATATTTCGTAGAGTAATGGCGGAAATGATTGTTAGTCTTACGACAGATGTCCTTCCTAGTGACATTCGTAAAACGGTCTTCTCTATGGGATCAAAGTAGGCACTTGGGTCCGATGAGTTCACTGGGAAATTTTCAAGTCCTTTTGGGATATTGTAGGTGAATCTGTGATGGAAGCAGTCGGTTCTTTCTTTAGTACGAGAACGATTCTCTAAAGTTTTAATCACACTTGGTTCACTCTGATCTCTAAAGTGGACAATGTAGAAGACATGAGGCAAATCAAGTAGATAAGCTTATGCCACTTTGTGTATATGATTATAACCAAAATCATGTATGAAAGACTAGCCTGTTTCTTAACACAAATCATTTCGGAGGGACAAAATGCTTTCATTCGTGAACGACAAATGGTGGAGAATGTCCTGCTAGGGCATGAGCTAATGCACTATTTGAAAATCAAAATCAAAGGCAAGAAAGGGTACATAGCTCTAAAGGTTGACATGGAAAAGGCCTATGATAGAGTCAAATGGCCATTTCTCCTTGCGGTTTTGGAAAAATTGAGCTTTAACTCTACCTGGAGAGGCTGGATCCAGGAATGTCTTAGCTCAACGTCGTTTTCAGTCTTTATGAATGGCACACCATCGGGATTTTTCACACCTTCAAGAGGTCTCCGGTAGGGGGACCCGCTATCCCCTCTCATGTTTGTGATTTGCACGGAGAGGTTCGCGGCGCTCCTTCGGAAGGCTATTTCTGAAGGGAAGCTAGAAGGGGTTAAAGTTGCCCCTAGAGCTCCTCAGATTTCACATCTATTTTTTTTTTGCAGATGATTCTTATTTATTCCTCAGAGGTTCTCTACGGTAAGTGAGAATCTGATTGAGGTTTTAAATGAATACGAGGAACTTAGTGGCCAAAGGGTTAACTTGGCTAAATCGGCAGTATGTTTATTAAAAATATTTCTCTGTCGGACCAAGATTTTCTTGCTCGGATTCTGGTATTCAGAGATGTGGGGGTTCATGATAAATATCTAAATTATCTCACACTGATAACCTAATCTAGAATGGCTATGCTCCGATTTTTGGAGAAACAGCTGGTAGGTCGGCTTTAGAGGTGGAAGCAAAGGACCCTGTCTTGGGCAGCAAAGGAGACATTTATTAAATCAGTAGCTTTAGCTCTGACATTACATGTCATAACCTGTTTCAAGCCACCTATCTCTCTCTCTCTCTCTCTCTCTCTCTTTGTCGACTTTTAGATAGACACGTGGTCAAATTCTGGTGAGGTGTTGAAGAGGGTCATTCCCGGATATGGTGGATGTCCTAACGGAATATGTGTCGGAGTAAGCACAATGGGGGAATGGGGTTTCATGGATTCAAACATTTTAATCAGGCGCTCTTGGACAAAATTGAATGGTGCATCCTAGACGAACCTCATTCGCTCCTAGCCCAGGTTTACAAAGGGAAATATTTCCCAACAGGGACTTTCCTTAATACTACTGTGCGATCTCGCCCGTCGTGGGGATGACAGAGTATCATGTATGGCCTTCAGTTATTAGTTAAGGGGCTACTTTGGCAAATTGGTAATGGTCGGGCAGCTTCACTGCTTTACTCAAATTGGATTCCTCGATTACACCCCCATACCCCTATGTATAATCTCCAGGTGCTACCAGAGGGTGGAGACCAGAAGGTGGCGGAGGTAATTTGCCAAGGAGAGGGGTGGTGGTGTGATCTAAAACTTAGCCAGTGGTTTAACCCGACAACTTGTCGTGGCATCAAAACAATTCCTCTTCCTCACCAGGATGTCGAGAATAGATTGATCTGGCATGACACATGTGACGGGATTTTCGTTGTCAAATCAACTTATAATTTTGCAGTCTTGTAAGATAAACAAGATGATCTGTGGTGATCCATGGCTAGTTGGATGAATAGGTCGAGTTGGACCTGCTTGTAGAAGCCCATATTCCACACAAGTTAAAAGTGTTTTTATGGAAAATATTCCACCAGATCCTTGCAACGACGAAAGCCCTAATTGAGAAGGAAGTTCAGGTGCTTACCAGGTGTCCGATTTGCTGGGCAGAATCGGAAACAATGGAACATTTGTTTCTTGATTGCCCAGTGGCAAGGGCTTTATGAGACCATTCGGGCCTCGAATATGTTGGCCAAAGTTTGCCTCCTCAAACTTTTCCGCTCTTCCTTAAAAAGTTGATGTTACTGATACATCAACCTCAACTGTTTATGGTTGTAGTTGATGTCCTTTGGAGGATCTGGCAATCAAGAAATTGGGTTGTATTTGAAGGCAAACAACTTGGGATCCCAGCTTTAATGCAACAATTTCACCAGCAGTACCAGGAGTGGATTAGTTTGCCAGTAGACCGTGTCTTGTGATCATCCATCCCACAAGCAAGGTCCTTAGGTGATGGGCACCCTAATTCAGTTATCTGTATGTGGGATGGGGCAACTAAGAGTGAGTTTCACTCGACCGGGGGATTGATTATCATGAACCAAGAAGGGAGGGTCCTCTTGGCTAAAGGGGTGCACTGTGCAGTTAGGGGTGGGCAACGAGATACGGATATTTGGGTATACCCGTACCCGTCCCATTTTTTTAGCGTTACGGGTACCCAAATACCCGTAACTTTTTTTACGAGATGAGACTTGAGATCAAGAATCGCTACTTTGGGTACCCGTGGGTTACCCGCTAATACCCGTTTGGGTATTACGGGTACCCGTTATACCCATTAGTCCAAAGGCCAAAAAACAAGCCCACTCCAACCCCAACCCGCCTCTTGCTGCCCCATTCGATTTTCCAAATTGCCAAACCCAATGCCCGTAATACCCATTAGTCCAAAGGCCAAAAAACAAGCCCACTCCAACCCCAACCCGCCTCTTGCTGCCCCATTCGATTTTCCAAATTGCCAAACCCAATGCCGAGCTAATTTCATTATGTGATATTAACCTTCATGTTCCTGCCGATGAAACTCGATTCCTGCTGACATGATATTATTAAGATTAAAAATAAAGGAAATATAAAACACATAAGGAAACAACACAATTCCTGTAAGAACTTTTAAGCTAAAAAAGGCACATAAAGCATATGCAATTGTAGTTGGTACCTGCACAGGAAGTCGTCAATTGATTAGCAGAAGAAGCAAGAATGGAAAGAGTAGGCACGAGTATTTTAGTGGCTCATCTTACTCTCGTAGCATTAAGATACATAATTGTTGCAAGGTTAAACAGAAAAAGAAAGCAGGAAGAAAAATCAAAGAGAAAGTTCCTTCTGGCTCTTTATTCTTTTTTTTAGATAAGGGTGATATAGGTTTTTTTTAATTAGGTACTACTGAAGAGATTCGAACCTGGGACCTCCAGGTTCAAGACTAGTAGTATTACCTCTGGCTCTTTATTCTTTCCGTGAGCTACAAGATTGGAACTCGTATCTGTGCTAAATAAGAGGTATAAGATGGAAGCTAGCCGGATTGAACGGGTATTTAAGGGTAGTATGGGTACCCGACCCGTTATCCGTCCCGTACGGGTAACTGGTACCCGTTAACCCGTCCGGGTTTGGGATATGGGATGGAGATTGCTCTCCAAATGGGATTGGGTACCCGTTTCAAACGGGACGGGTATCCTGTCTCGTCCCATTGCCCACCCCTAGGTGCAGTTTGATGATAATGTTGATCCTATGGTTGTCGAGCTACTCGTTCTCCGGGAGGCTATTCTCTGGTGTCTGGAGAACGGGTTTAAGAAGATGAGGTTCGAAGGAAATGCCAAAGTGATCATTGATAAAATAAATGAGGCAGATACCCGAGATAATCATATAGGGGTCATCCTCGAGGAGGTCGTGCACTATTTCGCTATTCACACTAGATTTAATGTGCAATTCGTAGATCGAGTAGTAAGTCTATTTGATAACTAGAAATGTCATTTCATTGTACCAGATTACATGTCGTGTTTTTAATTTTCTGGTCTGGTTACATTTCAGGATGGAATCAATATATATATATATGCTTATATTTTGTAAAAACAAAAATCAGAGAATTGACTCACGAAACAGAATGGGAGAATCTCTTACAAAAAGCAGTACGAAATGAGAACACCATATGAACTGTTAATCTGTGGTTTCTTTCACCTACACATATTAAAATTTTGATACAATCCCATAAAATCTATACAGATTTCCCACTCCCCTACACCATAAATTCCGTCTCCTTTCCCTTCCAATCATCAGAGTATACAACTAACTTCAATTATGCTCAATACAAAGGCCATCGCCTAAATCCTTAAATACCCCCTTTCACCCAACCCAATCCCCTCCCCCAAATCTCCCATCTTATTGTTTCCCATTTCCCTTCTTCCCCTCCTACATATTAGTCAGTTCAAAAGAGAGCCAAATAATGGCGGGGTCCTAAAACCCCACAAGAAAAACTAAAATAATAAACCAGTAAGCCATCCCTACACTCTCTAAATCAATCATCCCTCAAAGCTGCAATGCTAAGTCTGGCTGCTTTGGGGAACCAATCGGAACAACCCCAGACGAATTGGGCGAACCTGGCGACAAGAAACTGACGTTTAGGTCTGTAGGGAACTGGAAGAGCTCCTGCTCATTATGGTACAGCGGTGCTGGCGGTAGTCCCTGAGACCCCACGGTTCTCCCAGCAAACCCTGTCGTGGTTGTTGGTATACTGCTGCCAGGAGCTGATGACGTACCCGAGCTGAAAGTTCCTGGCTTTCCCTTGTTCGGATCGAAAGCATGCCCCTGCTGTATTTGACCGAAACTTGTGTACGAACTCGGAACCACACCAAATGGCCGGTAGGGTGTCGTTGGAAGCACGCCAACCTGAGAAGTACTGCAGTCGAATGAAGAGGCAACACCTCGAATTTTCTGTTGAGCTAGCGGCGGTGCCATAGGCTTCATGGTAGGAGTAATGCAGTCGTTGAACGGAGTTGATGGTCCAACGGCACCACTTCTCACTGCTGTATCTTCTCTGCTCCATGTCTGATGCATGTTTACAGTCGGGGTCGTACTTATGCCTGTTGAGAGGGTTTGATGACTGTTAGATGGATCATCGGACGCAGTATCATTGGATAAAACACGGCCACTCTGGACCACATCGTTTTCTCCTACCCATCCAGGACCAAATTCGACTCCCGTAGGCAATACGTGCTGAATCTTTTTAGAAGCTACTGCCCATGCTGTTGGACCAAGGCCAGCTGCAAATCGAGCTAGGCTTCTTGCATAACCATACTCCGCGCTTAGCCCAACCTGATGACGTTTTAAAAAATGTAAGTGCAAACTAAGCAGAGAGAATTATGATTGCCTACAACCAAGGTTGAAAGTAAAAAATGTAATCTTTCCATAGCAAAAACATCAAAACCAACTTCCTTCCCAAATCAAGAATGGGGACGAGATTTATTTCCAACATACCGCGACTAGTTGCTTCAATTCTCCATCCAATGAATTCAAGATGGATGGCTCGTGTGCGGAGGAAGCTGAAGGAGGATTATATGTATCACGCCTGTTCTCATCTACTAATGTTTTCTTTGAATGTTTCATCACAGCCCTCACCACAGAAGCTGCAAGTTAACAAAAAAAAAACGAACTTTAATTTTCTTGAAAGGCTAGCATAAGAGGAAAGTTCAATTAGGCAGTTAATGATCCTAAACCTGGAAACTCATTTTCCCATTCGGGTTGCGAAACGTTCGTTTCCCCATTGTGAGGCCCATTAGTGATTCTCAAAACTGCATCAGAAGGTTGCTTGAACAACGTCGTTTTCCTGAGATTATAACCATTCGACCCGATAGAGTTATCGCCTCCGGTGGCGAGTGTTGCATCAGACGAGAACTCGATTGCCAAGCGGTCAAGTGGAGGCTTCTCGAGTGACTTTTTTGACTTCCCTGGTGGCCTGCCCCTCCTCACGACTTTCTCCACTTTGGGTTCTTCCGGTTCACCGTCATCACTGTCTTGTCTCAGATTTTCAAAGTCCTTCTTAGCTAGCTCTTGTATGGAGCGTGCCTGAGAGACAGTAACAGTACTTTTAACCACAATTCTAACAGAAACCACGGATAAACAAATATGTATAGCACTAAATTGATGGGGGTGCAAACCTGTCGATAGTAAACGGTATCGGAAGAATTATACTGCATTGCGTTTGAACAAATAAGGAAAATATCTCCCTGCAAATTTATAACAAACTCCAGTAAGTTTCAATTTCACAGACAAATGTTCTGCATAGGAGATCAAGTAGTTAATTAACTTCTACGACATTCTCTACAAGAGCAGAATGACCATTAGGATGAAACTAATGGCACATACCCTTAAGAACCAATCAAACCACGTTGAGACTCACGTCAAATTTCTTTACTTCTTAAATTTTCAAAATGGGACACTAATATGCAATGCTGTCCCAACAGCTGACACACTATTAAGTGTACTTCAAGCAAACAAGTCCACACGTACTTTACATTCATATGGGAGCATTGAATTCATGCACATCCATTCAAAGAATAGTTTGGCATGATGCTTCTCTTCTACCAACAACAGAGAGTATTAACATCTGCAGCTGTGATATTCTTCTTGATACTTGACTGAATCCAAAGTTAGTTCTTAAAAAGTAGAAGGATCCAATTTGCATCTGCAGAACACCTCTCGAGAAAGCTATATGAAACCTGCTTCCGGCAAACTTACTCTGGCTGCATATTCAAGCTATTCTTCTACATACTTGACTGCATCCGAAGTTACATCTTAAATAGTAGAAGGACCCAATTTACATCTACGGAACACCTCTAGAGATGCCTATACGAAACCTGCTTGAGGCAAACTTACTCTGGCAGCATATTCAAGCTATCCCCTCAAAAACTTACCCAGCAGAAGTCTACTTAATTTCAAGAAAGGATAGAGTTTAGAGTTTCTTAAACAAACCTCAAATTGTTCCAAGTTGGAGTACTCCCCGCCATCTAGCTTCTTCCTAACCGTAGAAAAATCCATGGGATGGTCAATGATATCAAGATAATCAGGAAGCTGTAACAAAAGCAATTGACCACAAAACATCAGCACAGCAGAGGGTGGCATTGTCAGAGTACGTTCAACACATATACAATCAATGCACTAACCTCCTCTGTATCCACAGGGTCGGAGAAAACTCCATAGGTATCCTTTCTGCAAAAGACAAATACCAGTAAGAACCGAATAACAGTCAATGGTGGGGAAAATAAGGAAAACCAAAATGAGCGAGTCGTTTGGAAAAAATTGAAATGGAGAAGAGAGAAGAAAAAAAAATCCCTCTGAGAAGCTTATAAACAAGAGACCCACTTTTGAAGTCTGTCAAGAATGAAGACCAACAACTTTTTGTCTGGCAAAGGTGTCGTCGTGGGACCAGGCTCCTCCCCTGATAACCCTGTACAGATAGATAAATGCAAAGGAATGAGTTCACCAATTAATTACTAATACAGTCTTTCCCAAGATGAGAAAACCCACAAAAATATATAAATATTTCATGTCCAAGGAACCGCCTTTTCCTCCATGGATTTTGAAGACTGATTGAAACCAACCATACCATGAAGAGTGTCCGTCGCTTTCCAAAACTTTTCACCCTGCAAAAGGGAAAACCCAGCAACACATTCCATTATATATAATACTCAATTTTACAGAGATTACAGCAGCACTAACAACAGCATAGATTTCCTTCGAAACTCTCCCCATCCCAAGCTGGGAAAAGCAGAAAGGGAAAGGGGAAAAAGGGATAAACTAAAATTAGAGGAAGGTAGCCACTGAACTGGCATATCATTATCATTATCATTATCATTGTCATCTCATCTCATCTCATCTCATCTCATCTCATCTCATCTCATCTTCTCTTCTGTGTTAGAAGAAGAAGCTCTGAGCAATAGTTACAGTAAAAAGGCGAAGAAAGTACATGAGCTAAAATGACTGAGAGGAACTGAACATCTCAATTAGAGAAAAGACAAACAAAAACTTTATTTTTCAGACAAGAGGGGACTCTTTTCTTTTGCATCTTTCTTACCATTCATTCATTCCATTCCACTCCATTATTTAAGATCAGAAGTTTCATTCAATACAAACAACACTAAGAAAAAGAATATATATATATTTATTCAACCCAAAACAAAAAGGAAATCAAATGGGGAACAAAACCAAGAATTTCCAAAGGGATAAAAAGAGGGGATGATAAATTTTATTTAAAAAAAATAAACCAGAAAAACCCCTGACCCAGTCAAAAACTTCCACGCCTATTCGAATTCAGCAACCCACAAAATTGAAAAATCACCCGCGAAAATCCCCACATTCACAATTGCAAAATGCACAAAAAAAGGGGCCTGTTTCGATTAATTAATCAATTGACGGGGATCGGGGAATTTATTGAATCACCGTTTCATCAGATCCGAGGCGGACACCTCCGATCTGGCGGTGCTTGACGATGGCCAACGCAGCCGCCTCGGTATTATCGGAACCCGACCCGTAAGAATTAGAGGCAGAGGAATTCGAACGGAAAAGGGGATTCGATTGCTGCTGCTGGGAATTCAGGCCGAGCAGAAGCTTGTGCTTCTTCTCCTTCCTCTCATCATCGTCTTCGTCGTCATCGCCATCTCCGTCGTCATCGTCGCCGCCAGATTGAGGGTTCCGGCGGGCAGATCGGCGGGAATTGAGGAGGGAAATAGGGTTTTGGCGAGCAGGGTTTTGATTGCGATTCTTGGGCGGAGGATTCTTCTGCTGCAGCTGCTGCTGCAATTCTTGCTTGAGAGCTCGCTTTTGGAGGTCAAGAAGGGAAGGCCGTCCCTTTTTCTTCCGCTTCTTCGTCATTGTCTCCGCCGTTGCTGCCGCCTTACCCATTCTGTTTTCCCCCGTTCCCCTTCTCCCTTCTCTCTCCTCTTCCTTCCCCTCTCTTTCCTCTCTCTCTAAAACAGTCCGTTCAGTTTATTTGTTTTATTTATTTTATATTTATTTTTTTGTGCCTTTTCTTTTTGTCTTGCTCGCCGCTGAATTTCTGTTCCGTTTCCTTCTTTTTTTTTTCATTTCGAGGCAGGGTAAATGCGACTTCTTTTGTGAAGTAGTCCCTATATTTTAATTTTATGTCGGTTTAGTCCGGGACTAATCGCGAGTTTAAATATCGTTACCTACCTCTGAAATTGATCGTGAGCTTAAGTATTGTTACTGATCTCAACTCTCACTCACATGTCTTTCCTTCACACTCTGTTTAAATTTGTTTGTGATAGTCTGATAGTATATGCTTTCATACCATCATCGTTAAACTGACAACCATGTTGGATGTCATACTAACTTGATACATTATAAATTGAGGGTTTCTTAGGGGTCGTTTGGAAATTGTGATTCTTCAAATTGATGTATTAGGTTAATTAGTGTATTATCATTTGATGTATTGATTCAATGCATGTATTAGGAAAATACTTTGTTTGGAAGAGCAATGATGAAACAAAAAGTAGGGTAGACAATCCCTCATTAACAATCTCACCTTTTAGTAGAGATTTATAATCATTCATTTTGAGTGATTGTAGGTGGGCCCAACAAAAAGATAATGCATGCATTCTAACTCAAAGTGAACCAAAAAAACGACTTAATCTTATCATTACATGTATTTGCTAAATACCTCACTTCAAATCTCAACCTCCAAACGACCCAAATTTGTCGCCCTAAGTTTGATAATCGCTCTAAATAGAATGACCTAATTACCCTTATTAAAACACAATTGGAAAAATTGACCCGGTGTTTAATTCCAATCGCCCGCCGCCAATATCATGTCCGCTCGCCTTTCTGACCGCCGCCAGAACCTCGCCTCTACGCTCTCCGACGGTGGAGTTTCATCCCCGTTAGTGGACTTCTGTCGGTGGCGGCGACGAAACTTGATCTTTGTAAACTGCTTAGTACTTGTTAGCATTAGAGTGGCGGGGTAATGGGCGGTGAAAATCGAAGATTTTGGGGGCAGGAAGTGATTGAAATTGGCATCCATATCTCTGGGTGGGAAGAGAGAAATTGGCGTCCATGGTTATTCTAAGCCCGGAAGAATGGGGATTAGGGATTTCAGAAGTTGATTGTTTTGTTGAATTTAATTTGATTAATGAAGGATAATTAAGTAATTTTATGTTTTAAGTTAGGACGATAATAGTAAAGATAGGGCGATGTTTAGCCATTCAGTATAAATTTTGGAAGTATTGGCATTTAGGGTTTGTGACCCGCTGAAGGCAACTCGATTGAAAAAAAAACAAACTAACTCTGAAACTTCAGCAAAACTTGAAAATCGACTCATCCCGTCGAGGGAGAAACCCTTCTTCTTCATATGTAGAACTTAATTATAATAGTTAATTATAATGACCAATAACAAAGTACCATGTCTCGTATAAAGCAGTTATTAACAACCGAAAAAAGAACAAATAAAACACGCATCACTAAATTAAGTGAATCGATATAGATAAAAGAGTGTCAAACTGGGGGTGCTCTATTAGTATGATATTGTTCATTTTGGGTCAAGCTCATACGGCTTTACTCTTGGATATCCTCCCCAAAAGGCATCGTACAAATTGGGCTTGATAGACACTAATATACAAGGGTTCCTTCCCTTGTATTTCCGATGTGATACTTGGATTGTCCCATAACAATCCTCCCCTCAAGACAAGAACCACGAACATCGTGTTCTCACATTAGCGATTATCTTGATCCGCCAGACACCTTATATCGATGGGCTTCTCGGTACAAGGATTTTCCCAAACGTGGAACTCTCTTTGATCCGTCAAACAGACGTGCATCTCTCGTGGATCCACCAAACCAAACGCGGGCCTCCCTTAATCCGCCAAACCTGATGCAGCCCAAACGTGGATCTCTCGTGGATCTACCAGGCCAGAAACAGATCACAAATCCCGAGGTCACCGAACGAGGGTCCACCAAACTGGCGTTCACCACCCTGGACCTGAACCAGACTCTGATACCACTTGTCATAATCGGGGGAGCCCATTAGTATGATATTGTCTTTTTTGGGCCAAGCCCGCACGATTTTACTCTTGGGTATCCTCCCCAAAAGGCCTCGTACTAATTAGGCTCGATGGACACTAATATACAACGGTTACTTCCCCTGTATTTCCGATGTGTTACTTGGATTGTCCATTAACAAAGAGCATGCACAAAAATAAATAAAGAGGAAAAAGATGCACAAAAAATAAAATTCACCATTATCGAAAAGAAAAAACCAGTGTTATTAAATGCTAATGTGGCAAACGAAATCGCCAAATCAGCCAACTTTAACCCAACAAAAATAAAATTTGACTTGTCAAATCATTAAAACCTGCCACATCATTAAAACAAACCCAACTTATCACCCAACCCTTTAAATTTTTCTCTATTTGACCTAATCCAAACCTTCTTCCTCCCATCTCCTTCTTTACCCAAATCTACCACCGCCGCTTCCTCCCCCAAATAGAGAAGAAGGCCTCCACGATATCTTCATGCTACTGTCTGACTGTCTCGAATTCAGCGACAGCATACACTGTAGCAGTTATTCCAATTCATTGCCATTGTAAATCTCCTTCTCCGTTATCATCTCCATCATCGACCTCTTGAAATCTTCCTTAGGATTTGTCGATTTATTTCACCTGTTCACCACCACCATCGCTTAGCCCATCGTCGACATATCTCCCGCCGCATGCTCCGATTTTCATCCGCCTGTCAATACCTTCCGCTGCATCTCCTTCATCCTCTGCACCGGTCGAGTACTCGGGTTCGCCATCGATTTCCTCCCGCTACCCTCACTCGCCTCCAGCCACCCTCCCCCGCCGCAGCAGCTTCGCTTCCTCGTTCTCGCTCCCCGTCGCTTCCTCGGCGTGGCTGAACTCGCACGATCTATCGTCGAAGGAGAAGCTCAAGAACATCGGACTCGTCATGCATTCTCTCCGTCTCGAAGAACCGCCACCGTGGCGGTGGTGGGGAATCGCTCCGAAAGAGGGAAGAAATCGCCCCCGCCTCCATATCTCCGTTTGAAGAATAGAGATTTGATTCCGGATCTGTAGAAGTACCTGAACGAAAAGAAAATTATGGGCTTAGAATTCGGCGACCGCTTACTCCACGCTGTTGATCTCTTGCTCGATCTCCATGGCGACACCGTCACCAGCATCCTCTCCGACCGCTCGTATGCAAATGAGTAGGACCGCTTCAGTAGGATTAAATTGTTGCTACTGCTGCTTTTTTCGGCGACTCTATCTTCCAAATTGTAATTCCTAACTCCTTCCTCCTCAATGCATGGCGTGATCTCGGACAGCTGACGCGACAGTGGGAACTAATAATTCCACCGTCGTCATTGTCCATTTGGTGATGGAAGTCTTCCTCGCAGGTTACCCGGAGCTAACGAGGTGAGGATGCGGGGGGATGAGGCCCAGGTGAGGGAGATGACGCCAAGCTCATTGTCAGAGATAGCCGGTGGCGGGCAGTGGTAGGAGTCGGAGGCGGCGGTCTGACTCCATCTCTCCCTCGTCGCCGGTGACTATCTAAGAAATGGAAGAGGAAGAAAGTGGGAAGAAGATGACATTTTATTATTTTAGGGATTTAATTTGAGATCTGGTTCATTTTAGGAATTTAAGTGGGTCATTTTATTAGGTTGGGTTTGGTTAATGAGTTGGATTGGTTGGGCTAGGGAAGATGATATGGCGGGTAGGGTTCGGGTTTGTGGGGGTTAAAATTAGGTGATTCAGTACTTCTGTTAGCCACGTCCGCAAATGACTGACGGTGTTAACGGAGTGTGACCAAACGTGAGCCGTTTTACAAATTTGAGTGACTAACATTGATATTAAATTTTTTCAGTGACTAAACATGACACGTTTTAGTCAACCGAGTGACCAAACGTGGCATTTACCTAATTTTATTCTTTTTTTTATAATGGCGAAAATATATTAAAACACAAAAATGAAGGAACAATCAGGTTCAACAATGACAGAGAACGAAAAAAAGGAAAGGAAAGAGAAGGGATCATGAGATCTGATCCCAACTGCAAAACAAAACGAAAAGAAAGAACAGCAGGTGAGAGGCGTTAACCGGGCCGAACCGGCCCTACGCCCTCAACCGAACTCACTACAAACATAGCGCAACAGAGCAACTAAAAAAGGAACACATCAGACCTGGAGAAACAAAAACACAAGCCAAACGGAGCTCTACGCAACACCAGACACCCCCTCATCCTCAACCTGTAAACCAACGTTATGATCATAGAGGTTTTCTTCTGGAGTTAGCTGAGTACAAGCAAGAAGGATCATGCTAGACCATTCTCTCTGCTGAAGATCGCTTAACACCCCAGTAGAAGAAATCCAACTGAGGAGTGACCTGCAGATTTTGATGAAAACAGCCTGCGGATGCTTACCCTTTTCCTGGAAAATTCTAGCGTTTCTTTCTTTCCAAACTTCCCAAGTGAACGCATGAAGAAGACCCTTCACAAACCAGCGCTTCCAGGTCCTTTGATTGCCCGCAGGCCAGCCTCGAATGACCAAGGAAAAATCTGAAGGAAAGGGACCAACAATCCCTAGCATATGCTGAAGCTGCACCCAAATTCTTTTGCTAAAAGAACAACAACTGAAAATATGATCGCTGGTTTCTTCCTCAGTTTCGCATAAAGCGCACATGTTCGCCATAAACCACCCCTTCCTTTTCAAATTGTCCTGTGTAAGAATGCGTTTGTGTATAACCAGCCAAAGAAAAGCTTGCACTTTCGTGGGAATCTCCTGTCTCCAGATAGCGTCAGAGGGAAAATCCTCTTCGCCATTAAACCTTGCTTGGGCGAGGACGTTGTACCTAATTTTATTCTTTGCATGTGATAAATCATTTGCGAGTGTGAATGTAAAGAAGAAGGGTTGGAACTGATTTGAAGGGTTGAGCTAGCCCAACTTAAAATGGGGCTCGTAGAGTTTATGGTCCAAGCCCATGAAGTGTTAGTTCTAGACCATTCCGTGTTGCACCGATGACAAGATTTGTTGATTCTCCGCCGCTTAAGCATGTGCGGTCGGCTAATTTTATTATTCAAAATCTATGCTCTTAC